GGACTCTTTCAGAGTAAAGCAATATAAAAAACAAGTTACTACTTTCAAAAGAAGAGTGCACGGAAAAAAATACCACCTGGGCTGAAACATCTTCCAGTCAAATTAAAAATACAATATTATTGACTCGATTTGTGTGCATGAGAGTTATCTGTGGATACTGGAAGTTTTTTTGATTAAAGGAGAATACGTGGAGAAGAGAATGTCTCATTCAAATGTACACTTTCCAGTTCTGTTGTAAATCATTCCAGAACCGAAGAAAATGGGAGAATTTTGTGAAATAACAAAAACAAGGTTAAATACATTTTTCAACCTGCTCTGCCCCAGTTATTTTCGCCCTTCAGCTAATAGGCAGGAAATCAAAGCAATACAAATACACAAAGTAAAAAGGAAAAACCTCTTGTTCATCCCTTCCTCCACCCTTCCTATTTCTGCAATCCTTTTCTAAGCATTTATGATCATATACAATGTACATATATACATCATTTTCTAAAAGGGAGTCACTCTTTTGCATCTTGCTTTATTCACTCAACAACACATCATGTACCTCTTTCAATAGCTGTGAGAATATTCTACCATATAGATATGAGAGTACTTCAAAAAAGTCATGGAACGATTCATACCATCTTTTAATTATATTTCTCCATTAGCTGTTTGAAGTGCCCACCTAGGTAACTTAAACCTTTACCTTCTTTTGAAAATAAGGGCTCCACTAAGGGTGATTTTTACCCACCTGTTTTATTTCTGCTGTAAAAGCATTTCTAACACCAATTATGTGATTTGTTTTCAGTCACCCAAATAGAAATGAATCTTCTCTTCTTAAACCCTATCACATCTGCTTTTGGGTTTCTCCCCACAGTATGGTGTATAATGTTACCACTGAGTTGCATCTTCTGTGACCACATCAAATTCAAATGCAAGCAAGCCAAGCTGTACTTACGTCACTGCGTACTGTGCAAATGATAGATACTCCACCAGAACATCAAGACCTTTGTTTTCTTCATTCAGAAACTCTCTGACCCATCTGTTGAAAAATAAAATAAAATAAATCGAGAGGTTGGTCACATGATCTGCCATGGAAAGAACACCATGCACAGTTTTGTTTTTCCACCAGAAATACTCACTGCCTAAAACGAAATAGAGAGGAAGGCCTAGACTATTTCAAATGAGGTTTTAGATATTGTTACTAAGAAAACCACCACCTTTCAGTGTACAAGAATAAGGAGCAAAAAAGTGCATGTGGGCCATCCTTGCATTTTACTGCTTAGGACACATAAGATAACCTATCAAAAACTTTCTTTAAAAAGGAACTTGCTAAATGTCTTTTTCCACTACAACTGATCCACAGCCTGCTTTCTGAAGGAGCCAAGACTGCACAGGGGATGAGGCAGACTGGGGACATGACAACGTAACCACTGAAACCCAGGCGTGATTCCAAA